GCGTTCTTTGTCAGAACGCACGCACACTGCTCTAACCACATGGCTCACCATGTCTCCATAACAACCATTCATTCCTATTACCATGCCAAAATGTTTTTTTTTTTTTTTTTGGTTTTGGAAAGTTTAGAAAGACAAAAGCAGTCTATCCATAAAATATTTCTCATCTGCCAGCAACAAAACCAAGCTAGCAGCAATGTGGTATAAAAATTCTGACCTTGAACAAATTTCAAAATATTTACCTGATAATTTAATGATTTTTCTTGTTATGCATTCATGCAGTCACCAACCAGAGTCATTGTGAATTACACCATAAACTAGAATGGCTTCTATTTGCAACAGAGACCCATCAGTTTTAAGTAATGCTTCAATTCACTTTTATCAGACCGTCTTCTTTTGATGCCGTGTGCGGGGTCATAATCATCACTGCTTGAATCCAGATCTTACCTGAGGCCTTTTGCTTACATTTATTTTTTAATACTACAAATTATGTTTCTTTTTTCATCCTATGCAAAACAAAAATAATGTGCTCACTGCAGCTGACTGAAGGGAACAGCAGACATTAGCAAGAGAGAAGCTATAGGGTCAATTTATTGATGGATACAAATACTGTTTAGTGGCTCTCAAAATAGTTAAAATGCCAAGGTTTTAGGGTGTTAGAAACCTGATTACCATAATGTACATATCCGCAAATAATTTTTTTTTTTTAAAAATATATAGTATTAAGTCTCTTTTGTTGGAATCAATCAACACCAAACGTTTTTACTTGTATTTAACATAAATGTTTTTAAGTCTATTGGACATTTTTTAAAAACACTCATATTAACAGCAACGTTTATGATGTAATTTAACTTTATGCTTAATTTAGTTCTGCACTCTAGCAGATACCAAAAGCTACATTTAAAACAGATTGATGGGTGGAAATGTAATCATTTTATCTAGTGCTGTCAAAATTATCGCGTTATTATCGCGTTAACGCGAGGCCATTTTAACGGCGATAATTTTTTTAACGTGAGATTAACGCTATGTGGTTTTATGGTAAAATTTTCCAAGTACATCCCGCTGCAGCCTGCGGGGAGGCGGGGCTATTTTCCCCCAGTGTATGCATTTCTCATAGGCTTCAAGAGCGGAGCTCCTCAAGGAAAAAAGACGCTCATACACTGGGTGACGCTAGTGCCTTTTCTTTAAGCCCCACCACCAACAAACAAGTTGAGTGTCTGGTAACTAGTAGCAACCTGAAATACGCTGAGAAAACAGATTACTGAGGTGAAATGGAATCTGCTACGGCACTCTTGCTGTCACAGGTCGGTATCGTGTGTGTGTGTGGGTGGGTGTGTCTGTGTGTGGGTGGGTGGGTGCTTGTGTGTGTGTTCTCATTTTTGTTAATAGTCTGAAAAGTAACTTTCATAGACTACCTCCATCTAGTGATGTCGGTCTATTGATTTTGATGTATTGATTGAAAATTGTTCATTATTATCTTGGTTAATTAACATCTAATGTTAACTGTACTACATTTTATAGCAGCAGGGTAAAATGCTTGTCTTTGTTCAAAAGACTGTATTAACTGTAAAGACTGTCTTTTACATCAGCCTGTTTTCAGGGCCTTTTTTTTGGCTACATATTTGTTATTTTTTGCTACATGCCTCCCCATCTTCTTGCCATATGTTTCTATGGCATAAATCAGTATCTGTGACCTGTTTTCATTTAAAAAAAAGAACATTGGCACAAACCTAGCCTGTATGTATTTTTTGTATGTCATCGAGAGTATTTAAATGATTTTCAATCAGAAAAAAAATTTGCGATTAAAATGCGATTAATCGCGAGTTAACTCAGGCATTGATGCGATTAATCGCGATTAAAAAATTTTAATCGATTGACAGCACTAATTTTATCTATATAGCCAGAAACCTCAATTTCATTGTAAGAAACATCACCTCAGAGCATCATGATGTTAGACTGGCATTTTCATAGGTTATAATCAGTGTTGATTTCCCTCAAGCACAATAGTGAAGCAGCATTCTATCAGATCCTTTAAATGGTATTCCAATGGGTGTTTCAAAAAAATAAAAATAATTCTTCTCCTGAGATACTTTTCTACAATGAGATCCTTCTGATTCTATCACTTTTATGGCTTTAAACAGACAACAATGTCTTTCAAGCCCCACATGCCTCAAAGAGCTTTGTTTCATTTTTAGTTAACCTGTGAAGCATTCATGTGACATCAAATGTGATAAACAGTTGAAACTTGTTTATCACAGTTTTGTTTCAGAAGTCCTCAAGAACTTGGCAGTTTACAAGTTTAAGAGCCGCTGTACTTTATAAAGCATGTCAAAAGCATAAAAGGTGTTACTTATTCACAATTTTAGCATTTTATATAACATAATCATTTATTTCAAATAAACCTTTTATAATTAACTATAATAAGTAACTGAAAATTAATAATGACCAAATGTCTTTCTGATACGCAGCAATTTCTACTTGGGCTTGGGGGAGGTGGCATGTGGTTGCCATGCTTTCATGCTGCTGTTCATCTAGCTTTATGTATCAGTCATCGAAATTACTTGCATGAAGTAGCAGCTTTACACTTTATATTTTATTATTCAAATAATAAGTTTTTTGATACAAGTTCTAAAAATGCAATTCCTAAGGTTGCTATAGTTTAGAGAACCACAGTAGAAATATATTTCTGAGACAAAAACATAACTATATGGTAACATGGACCCATATCTGCAATTGTTCTCATATTGTCTGTGGTTCCCAATCCTGCGTTTGCATATATTTTTAGGTGTCTTCTTGCTGCAACCCACCTAATGTATATAAATGAGAGACTAACAGGCTTCTGCAGGACTTGATGGATACTTAGGAAGTCAAGAAATCATTTGAATCAGGTTTACTGAAACACGTGCACCTAAAATAGGCAGGGCTGTGGCACCAGAGAGCCCGACATACTGTATAAACATCAATATCGCTATTTTCTGGCTTTTCGTAATTTCTCTGCCACACCACTAGCAGGTGGTATGTGTACAACCACACTTAAGAGATTTTGTAGATCAAGATAATATTCCCATGGATTGTCTGTCATTCATCTTATCCTAACAATGACCTTATATCTGAGAAAAGATGGAGCTAGCTATTAACTATATAGGCCTATTAAACTCATTCTTGTTATTATTATTTTTTAAAGCTTTTATTGTCATTACACTGTCACAAGTACAGAGCAACAAAATGAACTTTCTGCATTTAACTCCTCTCCTTGGGGAGCAGTGGGCTGCCTTTGTCCGGCGCCCGGGACCAATTTTGGGGTAAGGTTCTTTTGCTCCCACAGACTGCCACTCTGGGGCTTGAGTTCAGTACCTCTTGATTTTAAACGCAATGCCCTAACCAGTAGGCTGCCACTCCCCTAATAATGAAAATTTATTCAACCAATGCTTCAACTAATATGCAATACACTGTAATGGCTTGGATGCATGATTATTACTGATAGCCATGTCACTTCACAGGAACTCCAAAGTCCTAAGCATGCTACAAAAGCAATGCTACATATAAAAGTCCCTAATTTAAATAAGGTTCAGTTTGATGCAGGCTGTATTTCTAAAAATAAAATGGCAAGAAAATAAAGAAGATTAAAGATCTAAAGTAATATTTACAGTGTTTCTTGTGCCTCAATCTTTTTGTCAAAGACTTACCTTTAGTAACAAAACCTTAAAAGACTTTGGGTCATAATTAACCAAAGTTTCTTTACTGCACTTGAATTGCTGTCACTAACAAATCGATATAAAAATATAACTCAGTCCTTCTTCAGCTACAAAACACATTAGGCCCTTGAAATGATTCAGATATTTTCCTTTTTTATAACAGTGCTTCATCAAAATAAAAAATGTTTAAAACTCCTATTTTTTGCAGATAAACACAGGCTCCAAGGTGTTCAATGTTCACTGCTGTAGATTTTTGCTCATGTTGTCCAGAGGCATTTCACGGTTTCCCTTTGTTCTCTGTCTGACACCAGGACCAATTCAGCGATGACGTCAGAGCTGCTTTAAATCCCCCTGCAGAAGGAAGCTGCTGCTCGCTGAGCTCTGACACACCTCCTCCTTTATCATTAAAGACTATCAGGGCAAGGATTTGGAGATTTCACAGCATTATCCACTAATTAGCCATCAAATTGGGCCACTAGTGATACCACAACCACAGGTTGGTTGTCAGAAGATGGGGCCTTGGTGAGATCAATGGTTGGTTCACAGGACGGCCCCAGCTGGGGAACTGTAGCGGCAGGTTGACCCAGAGAGGCAACCATAAATAACAAATCGTTGGTTCGACGAGGGCCGGTCACTGCTACCCCCTTCATAGCCTTGGTAGCAGCCTTGGAGGAGCTCTTCATGCTGGAGCTTCCACGTGGAGCTTCACAGTGTAGCAGGGCTTGGAAACACCTATAAAACTGGGGCAAGTAGACAAACACACACCAGTAATTTAAAACAAGACATGGAAATGTAATGTTTCTAGCTTTGTCTCATCATATTGATCATAGACAAATGTTTTTTTTTTTTTTGTACAGTTACTAAATCTACCTCCTGTTTAATCAAAAGGACATTATTTTAATCATATTATGCATTTTATTTTAATGCTTATTTCCACAACTAACTATCCAACTTTTTGGTACTTAATGTTCCGTCTCAATTGTCTGTTTTCTCCATATATTTGAAATATTTATTTTTTGTGTTTTTATTGGGTGTTAACTGTGTCACTAGCAAAATACATCATTGAAAACAGGTCATTTGTGTCTAAAATGCAAGTTAATAAAATCTATCAAGTAGGGAGCAACACTGGTTTGCAAAGGTATGCTTTTTATTACATAACAAGTGATAGAAAAAGCCAAAAAAACAGTAATAACCAAGCATTGAGCAAAGAATTGACATACAATTCTATTCATAAAGCTCTTTAACAATAATATATGAAACGCATAAGATTCCAAAAAAATTTATAAAATAAAAAATCAAAGCATCAAACAAGTTGAGGCCATAACACACTAGGAACGATCAAAGACAACATCTCAGACCAGGTTAAGCCAAAGTAAACATTTGTTCAGATGGATTGTCTGTGAAAAGAGTAATGATTATTGTTCTTAGCAGGAAATGATTGAGGTATTTCATTAACAACATCTTTGTTGGCCAAACTACATTTACCTGCAATTTTGTTCCTCTTAAATAAGGCAGCTCCATCCTGTTCTTGAAGCAAGACTGTGTTACTTTGCCTTTGGGGTCTTAGCAAGTAACCTTTAGGTTTAGCATCCCTTAGATCAAGTGGCAACCCTGTGCTGTCACAAGCTTAAGCAGTCTCCCTTCATATTTTAAAACCTGATATACAGAGGACCACTTTGGACCAGCAGATTGAGTTGATCAATCATCAAGTTAGTTTTAAAACAAAGCCATATTCACCCTTCTAGATTAAATCCTAAATTAGAGACTCAAAAACATGTCAGGTAAAAGTTGTATCTGTTTTGTCGCCTAACAACAATTTTTAGCTTAGTTACCTCTGTGTTTAAGGGGGGCTCAGATGACTGGCTCATCTAGGTCACATGATTCATTCAGTGACATCTCTTTGATTTTATGGGTAAGTTTTTGAGAAGTGGAGTCTGCTTAGAGCCTCACTACGCATCAAGTGGCCTAATGTAGACTGACCTGAAAAATTCTTAAGTCGGGCATACACTGTGATTTTTTTCAATTGTTGCACGCAGCTACGACGAAAACGCAGGATTTTGTCGTACAGTGTGAGTTTACAGCTCACAATGCATGTTCAGCCCGACGCTCTGATGCGATCTACCTGCTCACACTGTATGATGAGAAAGTTTCCATGTCCAGGTTGGGCAGATGCAGTGTAGCTGACTACGAGTAATGATTACACTTTGTGTTCACAATAGAACATTATTTTTACCTCTCTTATCAGTGAATTTTAGAAGCAGTTGATCTTTCTTAATTCTTGCTAAGATTTACTGTTGATGCACAATAATCAAACAGGACCTCTATTTAACTAATTAATTCAAGAAATTTTACAATAAAATGACTTGAGCAATATTTCGGTGATGTGATTAATAACAAAAACACTCAATGCAAAAAAGGTACAGAACTTTCACATGTGCCAAGATGGTGTCATGTCCGTGTTTGTGTATTTTTACTGGGCTTCAGCACTTAAGTTCCACAACACCTCCTTTCTACATTTAACACATTTGTACATTTCGTTTGGCACATGCGCCTGGACTGTAGGATGAGATGGAGTTGGCAATAAAAAAAAAAGTAAATAAACATCAGAGACTGCAGCAAACCTGTCAGTCCTGACTTGTCCACTGCATGGGTCCATGTCACTGAAGCATAGGTGTAAATATGCCTTGAATGTGGTTTTGGGTCATAAAGACGATGATCAGTGAGTGCCCCAGTTTTGCCTACTATGATTCAAGTAGTGAGAAAAGTTTTATCATCCCCCTTCAAGAGGATAAAAAAAAGTGCCGGTAGTTCATGGAGAGCAATGACCAAACTGTCGAGCTGTGTCTGGTGCTGATATTGAACAGTCCACTCCACTCCTGATCAGCTCAAAACATGTCAAGAGTGATGAAGCAGAGGAAGCTTTCTGACTGTACACCTTTCTTTGGGTCAAAGTCGTTGGCTGTCGATCTGGGGCACACAATTATATTGTGCTGTGATAGAGACGCTTGCCAACCAGTTCCCTATGGCCACAGACCCATATTTTGCCTTCTTCTTTGGTACTCTGTGTCTCCGTTCAGCCTCTCTTTTTTGGGGGGTCCAGAGTTTCCTCATCTGTAGGGTTAACATATTTTTAAGATGTGAGTTTATGGGCTATCAAATGATGTGAGCAATGGAAACTCAAACAAAGTTACACATTTAGGCAAATATATTTTTTGATTTATAATCCCCAAATATCTCAAGTATCCTTGTATCTTTTTTAAAATCTTTTCCTAAAATACAACTGCCAAAATTGGCAAAGGAAATTAAGATGTTTGAAAACTCTTACCAGAACAAATTTCAGAATCTGGACTCACCTGAAGGTTTTAGTGTTCTCGATCTCTCTCACAAGGGTTGACTTGATTCAGGATCATGTCCAAAGCCTGCTAAGTGATGTTGATTTACATCATCTTCATTTCTTAGCGGACTGTCATACAGCATGAAATAGTTAAAGACAGTAGAAGTATAAGTATTATTTTTGAGAGACCTATTTATCCACTTTGGTCAACATTATAGTTATGCCCACCCTTCCTTCACAACACCTAGTAGGACTGCTTTTTCATCCATACATCCATCCATCTTTTTTATTGTCATTGTTTTGAAGGAGAATATCTGTGTTTGTCCACAATTAAAGTCAGAAAATACGTAGATCCAGGTAGCAATTTACAACAACCATCAAAACCATCACTTATAAATGGTAAGGAGACAATTCATTAATGACTAACAGATAGTTCTTCTGCAGTTTTAGTTTATCCCCAACCACAAAAATCATTTGCTTCATGCCTAACCCCAATCTGATGGATTTATATTGCTTTGCCATGTTGGTTTACCCTGAACCTAACATCAGTGGTCTTTATGCCTAACCCTAATCGGGCTGATTCAAACCATCCTGCCATGTTGGTTAACCCCTAACCCTAACACCAGTAGGCTTCATCTGGCTGATTTAAACCACCCTGCCATGTTGGTGTATTCCTAACCCCAACATCAGTTGACTTCATGTCAAACACTAATCTGGGTGATTTAAACCACCCTGCCATGTTGGTTTAACCCTAACTCTAACATCAGTAGGTTTCATGCTTAACCTTAATCTGGCTGATTAAAACCTCTCTCTTACATGTTGGTTTACCCTTAACCCTAAAATCTGTGAATTTCATGCCTAACCCTAATATGATGGACTTATATAGCCCTATCATGAGTGTTTAGACCTTGCCTTAACATCAGTGGATTTAAGACCTGAACCTAGCCTTTAAAAATTGTTTCGATTCAGTTTATAATGTAATTAAACTGTAATAAACTATCTGTTAATCCTCAATAAATAGCCACTTGATAATTCATAAATGATGGTAAGTGTAAATGTAACCGTAACATTTATTTAGGCAAGAAAAGACACTCCATGTGAACTCCTACAAATAAGATGTACTTCACAACACTCTTCAGTTCAGACTTTCAGAGGGTCAACTTCATAACAGAGTAAAAGAAAAACACAGTTGTTATCATGTAATAATGCCTTGTCTTGAAAGTCAGGTGGCTTGGTTACCAGAATTGCATTTTTGTGCCCTTGATATTTGGTGGAACAACAGAAAAGCAAAATATATATATAACATTTATGTTATTATTGTGTTTACACAAATAGGTATTTGTAGTTAGAATTGCCTACAAGTAAATGGCTTATTTGGAAAAAAGACAAGGGTGGGTTATTGACTGTTTAGCCATTATTTGTGAAAAAAATCTACACTGTTTTTATCTATTCGAAATTTCATCCTTACCTAATTTAGTCTACTAATTGACTGATACTGAATAAAGGGTACATGAAAAAAGTATGAGATGGTCAAAAGGTTATATGCTATTGGTGATGACTGATAATAGCGTGTTTTGAAAGCCCCTATGAGGCCTCTATGCTCTATTTAAGCATCATTGTCCTGCTGTAGAAGATAGCTGCTTTCAGCTTTGGATCATCAACAGATGGCCAGACATTCTCCTTTAGGTTTTTTTTTTTGGTAGACAGCAGAATGCATGTTTCCATTTTTTACAACAAGACTTCTGGCTCCCAAAGCAGCAAAAAAAGCCCCAGATCATCACATTACCCCCATCATATTTTACTGCAAGTATGATGTTCTCTTCCTGGAATGCTGTTACTTATAGCCCAGTTATAACAGGGCACACACCTTTCGAAAGGTTAAACATTTGTCTAGTCAGTCCACAAAATATTTCCTTAAATTCCAAATTAGTTAAGAGTTTTAAACACTTTGATTTTTTAAATTAAGTTGTCCTGACTGAGAGCAGTGTGCTGTTTTTTATTCCCAGAGTTTCACACCTGGAAGTAGTCAGAGATTACCAAAACCAGAGGAACAGATGGGCAAAAAATTGCTATAATGCGTATTTATGTATAGATAATTTTTAAAATGTGGCCATAGCCTACTCTGTTGGCCTCTGGCCACTCCAGGGAAATGAAGATAAGGGACCTAATTTTCTGTTTTTTCCACACTTACTCATATCCATATTTATGACCCAGAAAGAAAACGCTTTCTGCGTTTTGGTATCTCCACAAACAATGTGGTACCAGCAACACAGAAGATGATGTGACACAGGTTATTGAACTTTACTCAACAATAGGCCTGGGGGCTGTCATACTTTTTGTTTTTGTTTCTTTACATGCATTCATGATTCATCTAGGTCATTAACTCTGAAACTGGATATGGATGTCTCTCTTGGGGTGTGGAGCAAATAACAGGACAGTTGAGATCCAAAGGGAAATTATGTAGTTGAGCTAAGTTAAATACACTAAATTCAAATTGGAAATATAAACAAACAAGCAATAATCCAGACCTGGATAATTTATTCATTAGATGGGGAAAACATCCCAAAGGTTGGGGGCAAGCAGCAGTGGTAGCAGCTGTGTCCGTGGTGCGTTGTGCTGCTACAGAGCAGCTGTGGAAACGAATAAGAACTCTTCAGAGATAAGAGGTTGAGAGTTCTGGTACCCTCTTTATCTCTGTGTATCTCAAAAGAGACAAAATATGAAACAGAAGAGGCAAAGCTTGGCACTATTGTTAGATAATGACTGCATGGGAAATGAGGAGGGCAAAGTGGAGCAAAATGTACTCTTTTTCATAAATTGTGTGCAAGAAAAAAATATTGTTTAAAGGGAGTGTGAGGACTATATTTGTCCCCTATTGAAAAATTGACAAAAATCCCAGGAAGGTTTGTGTGTTGGAACTGCACTCAAGACACAGATAGAACAACTTAGTGTTATTACATTCCTAACCTTTTTATTCTTAATACTTTCCTCTTCTTTTTGCTTTCAGTCATGGCTTTAAAGTCTTTACTTATCCTAGTTTACCTCGTTTCAGGTTGTCTGTGTTTTGTAGTCACAGAAAATGGATTTGGGTCTTAATAAAGAGCTAGTACAGGTGCTGGTCATAAAATTAGAATATCATGAAAAAGTAGATTGATTTCAGTAATTCCATTTAAAAAGTGAAACGTGTATATTATATTCATACATTACATACAAACCCATATATTTCAGATGTTTATTTTGTTTAATTTTGATGATTACAAATGACAACAAATGAAAATCTCAAATTCATCATATCAGAAAATTAGAATATTGTGAAAAGGTTCAAAATTGATGGCCCCTGGTGCCACACTCTAATCAGCTAATTAACTCAAACCACCTGCAAAAGCCTTTAAATGGTCTTTCAGTCTAGTTCTATAGGCTACACAATCATGGGGAAGACTGCTGACTTGACAGTTGTCCAAAAGACGACCATCGACACCTTGCACAAGGAGGGCAAGACACAAAAGGTCATCGCTAAACAGGCTGGCTGTTCACAGAGCTCAGTGTCCAAGCACATTAATAGAGAGGCGAAGGGAAGGAAAAGATGTGGTCGAAAAAAGTGTACAAGCAAGAGAGATAACCGCACCCTGGAGAGGATTGTGAAACAAAACCCATTCAAAAATGTGGGGGAGATTCACAAAGAGTGGACTGCAGCTGGAGTGAGTGCTTCAAGAACCACCACACACAGACGTATGAAAGACATGGGTTTCTGCTGTCGCATTCCTTGTGTCAAGCCACTCTTGAACCACAGACAGCGTCAGAAGCGTCTTGCCTGGGCTAAAGAGAAACAGGACTGGACTGCTGGTGAGTGGTCCAAAGTCATGTTCTCTGATGAAAGTAAATTTTGCATTTCCTTTGGAAATCAAGGTCCCAGAGTCTGGAGGAAAAGAAGAGAGGCACTTCATCCACGTTGCTTGAAGTCCAGTGTAAAGTTTCCACAGTCAGTGATGGTTTGGGGTGCCATGTCATCTGCTGGTGTTGGTCCATTGTGTTTTCTGAGGTCCAGGGTCAACGCAGCCACATACCAGGAAGTTTTAGAGCACTTCATGCTTCCTGCAGCTGACCAACTTTTTGGAGATGCAGATTTCATTTTCCAACAGGACTTGGCACCTGCACACAGTGCCAAAGCTACCAGTACCTGGTTGAAGGACCATGGTATCCCTGTTCTTAATTGGCCAGCAAACTCTCCTGACCTTAACCCCATAGAAAATCTATGGGGTATTGTGAAGAAGAAGATGCAATACACCAGACCCAACAATTCAGAAGAGCTAAAAGCCACTATTAGAGCAACCTGGGCTATCATAACACCTGAGCAGTGCCACAGACTGATCGACTCCATGCCACGCCGCATTGCTGCAGTAATACAGGCCAAAGGAGGCCCAACTAAATACTGAGTGCTGTACATGCTCATACTTTTCATGTTCATACTTTTCAGTTGGCCAACATTTCTATAAATCCTTTGTTTTTATTGGTCTTCAGTAATATTCTAATTTTCTGATATGATGAATTTGAGATTTTCATTTGTTGTCATTTGTAATCATCAAAATTAAACAAAATAAACATCTGAAATATATGGGTTTGTATGTAATGTATGAATATAATATACACGTTTCACTTTTTAAATGGAATTACTGAAATCAATCTACTTTTTCATGATATTCTAATTTTATGACCAGCACCTGTATGTGGTTTTGAAACACAAAGAACAAAAATATGACCTAGATTTGAAAATAGTTGAATACGCAGTAAGGTAGCAAAGGGGGTGCAGCATTGTGAAGTAAATGAAGGCCCAGTAAAAAGAACAGCAATTCTGTGCTCAACATGGAAAGAAGAGGGCAAAAAAATGTAAAGTAGGCTAAAGGTCCTGAAAAGGCACCCAACCATGAAATTCACAAACAAATAAGCAAAAAAGGTATAACCCTCAGTCACTGCGCATGATTCAAAAAGACTTTTAGGGAAGTATTTTATAAATCTGGCAAATAAAAAACAAAAAAACGCTAGTGAGGTATTTCAGGTAACACCATGACAGCAGAAAACATGGTGCAG